AGTACATTCAGCGAAGCTAATGAAAACAATTGGAAGGGAGGATCGAGGGAACATAAAAGAAATGCTTTAGATAAAAAGTTATATACATCTACAGATCTTTATTCTTCCATAAAATATTGCACATTAAAACGCAAACAATAAGAAGAATTTTATATCGCTAGTCGTTCAAACGTTGAACGCGACGAGAGCGGAGTAAAAGTGGAAGAAACCTGTGGGAACGGGATGTTTCTGAACGCAGTCACATCCGTTCCCATGGAATTAATTGAGTGCGCGTTTTACTTGAGAAAAATAGAAAGGACGGACGTAACCGCATGATCGATCATTAGCGAATTGAATCGGATTAGTCGAAGCGGATAATGCTTGCACTCTGGCCGGCGCGCGGTGATTCATTTTTCTCTTGTTTTATTTGTTAAACATTGCGCAGATCAGCGTCACCCAATCTTTTCACAAACCCCCTCTTGAGCGTTAAGCAAAGTAATCGGCGACCCCCATTATCGTTTCTCGAGAAAACGTGTTTACGATTTTTTCAGAATGACTACGGGATAGCGTTTATATAATTAAATCCGAGATATCCGTGCCGGAATGTTTAATGAGCGTGATGAGGATAGAAAATTAATTGCCGTGCGTCCGTCTCTCTCGGGGGGGTCGCAGGTTGAAAGCCCGGGTGTTAAAGGATTCAGGCACATGCCGTTCGTCTCTCTCACGCCGCGATAAACAATGGGCCTCGGATTCGATCAGCTCTGGAAACGTTATTCGATGCAAATGTAACCTCGGGCGAGACGCGACGCCGTGGCTACTTAAAAATGCCTGAGGATTCGGCAGGAACGAGGCCGTCGGAAAACGACGTCTCGACGGGAGGATGAAAATTAACCGTGGCGACAGACGTGAATAAGACGATTGAAGTGTGCGGGAACGAGCAGGATCTTGCGTTCGGTGTTAATAAAAGGTCGAGCGATTCGTGTCAGCGTCGGTATAAACAAAAGGCAGGCTTGTTAGTTTCTTCCGAACCAGTTAGAACGACTGAAAATTGGTTTCGCTAGCGTGGGTTCGTATAATCGGTTGATGTTACTTACACGCGCTGCCGCTAATTCAGAACGTATACTATTCGAGCCGTAATACACAGTATCGTAATGCCAGAATCCATACGAATGATAAACCTTTCTGAAGTTGCTCGAGTCTGATAACGCTTTTTAACTGGCCACGGCCGACGGTGCGGTGCGAGAGCGCTCACGTCCGGGACTTCGTGACTCTCGTGCAAGTGCTGCACCAAAGGCACCATCAGGTTAACTCTCGACGGTTTTGTTGGTGTTCCATCGGTAGTACAGTGTTACAAGATTTCAGAAATGCTGACAACAGCGCCGTGCATTGAGGAAGAGTGAAACTCAGGTTTCGATTACAAGATTTGAGGAATTTCTTTCTCATCATTACTCCTCAATGACCTAACGACGGTGCAGTGTTCGTGAGCAGAGGTCCGTGAGTTCGCAGGTTTCGTCTTATAATTAGCGTTGAGACGGAGAAACAAGGTACAATAGGTTCAATAAAGTTGATTCTGAGTTGTTACTCAATTCTATCTTAGTCACGCTTTTCGAAACGGAAAAGCTCTTGAAAATGTTATTCGATTCATCTCGATGCGACTTCTGGTTCCGGAGATATCGTGTGAAGACAGTCACAACTTTTTCTACGCTGTTGTGTCTATCTTCAGACGTTCACCGATTCGGACGCTCAGCTGATACGTGTTTTTGCCAGGCGAATAACTAGGTCACTGTGCCAAACGCTGCGCCTAAACTTTGGAAGCCTGTATCTCCAAAACGGGTATAGATATCGGGATAAATAAAAAACAATTTTGTTCGTCTCGAATCCATCTATCGGTTAAGAAAATTTTCAATCTTCAACCTTTTATCATTTCGTTTCTATTATTTCTTTAATTTTGTACATAGGGCAGAAGTGCATTCAGGATTCACTGGTGAGAATAGTTGGTAATTTCCAACGAATGAGAAACGTAATCTCTGTTCTTTTGATCGAAAACTTTATTTTAGACTCGTCTACGACGAGGTGAATTACAGACAATTACGATTACATTCATAATTATACACATTTCTTGTCCGTGGAATTTGAAACTGACACCATTTATTTAATTGCTACGTTTCGATAAATTCCATTCAAAGACCCTGTATTTACTTGCATCGGCTGTGTTTATCATTTAATGATACAACATCGCAGTAAGTGACGAAGGTACGTTTTCACATGTAACGGTGCAACGCCTGTTGTCTTAATTGATACGATACGAGTACGCGATGCAAGTACATACTCGGCTTAACAGGCACACTTTAACGTCACGATTTAAATTACCACGGTGAACCACAGGAAAAGAACCATGTAGTCTTTTGTGGCCCCATCGTGGTCAGTATCATAGTAATAGTCTTCTCAAAGCACTCAGCGTCACAACTTACCCCAAAATATTCTGGCATTACCTGCAATTGTAAATATCCATTACAACAAATTACAGAATGGATAATTAAAAGTAATCCTTAGATTACGAATTTTTCTACCAAATAAAGCATTTATGGTAGGATTTAAACAAATGTGTTTTAGAATATTGAAATAAGC